CAGTTTGGGGTGTTGGTGGAGGTGCCGCTTTGCGAGATTGACGGCCGAGTGCTAAGGGGCATGTAGTTTAGGGTCCTGGCAAAGGTGCTGTTTTGCGAGTGATGGCCGGGTGCTAGGGGGCATGCAATTTGGGGCGCTAGTGGAGGTGTGTCAGGGGGCATGCAGCTTGGGGTGTTGGTGGAGGTGCTGTTTTGTGAGATTGACGGCCGAGTGCTAGGGGGCATGTAGTTTAGGTGTTGGTGGAGGTGGACGGGTGCTAGGGGCATGCGGTTTCGGGTGCTGGTGGAGGTGCCGCTTTGCGAGATTGATGGCCGGGCATTGATGCATCCAAGGGCGGAGATCCAGACATTTTAGAAGACAATTGGAGGTTTACATCCCAGGCGAACAAACCAATGATCAACCTGTGGATAGGTAAGACCATTTTCACCTTCGCAGACAATCCGCTAAAAGATGAAGAATCAGGTTCAGGATCTGCAGCAGACAGGATCATCGACAAGAAAGGCCGGTCGACCATTGAACCAGATCCTACTGCACCATCCGCAGACGAACTGACATCGTTACCGCTTGCCTTAGGCAGAATCCACCAGCGATTGTCAAAGCCCGAAGAGTTGAAAAAGCTCCACCTTCAGCATCATCACATGACTACCGACCAATTTCGATTCAGAACCCGCACGCTTCACTTGCCGAAATCTACCTATGACTTATTTGACAAAATCCGAAGTGAGTGCGAAGTTTGCCAAGCAGCAAAGCAAGCACCATCAAGAAGTAAGACGAGTGGACTTCGAGCGGACACATTTGGAGACATGACATTCATTGATAATTGCTAGGTTCCTCTCGGAACCGGAGAACATATCATTGTTTTCGTCATCCTGGATGGGTGATGATGACAGCACATGGTGATACCACAGCCACGCAGCATTGTGCGCTACATAGACACGCAGACAACGTTGTAATGAGTTCAGCAGAAAAATGGTGATGTTGACTGCATCATGCTGATACACCATCCACGAACCTTTACGCGCTAGCCGCGCTACAGCTCAGTTCGACAGCATCATGATGATGCAAACAGCATCCTGATGATGCAGCCAGCGTCATGATGAAGTTCAGCATCATCATGATGATGTTGAAAGAATCATGGCGCTACATGACCTGAAAAACAATAACGGGCATCGAAATGAGTCCAGCAGCATCATGGTATGGTTGGCGCCATCATGATGTTGCACCAGCCACGAAGCATTACGACGACGTCCTACGTAATGGGTTCAACGGCATCACGATGATGTGGACAACATCATGATGATACCACAACCACGTCCCCCCTAGCAGCCTGCCCTCAATCTCGACAAGAAGCACTTGCACCAGCACCCCAAACTGCATGCCCCGCAGTACATGTGTTTCAGCACCTGGCCGCCAATCTCGCAAAAATGCGCCCACACCACAGCAGCTACCCGCCAGCGCCCCAAACTGCATGCCCCCTAGCACCCTGCCGTCATTCTTGCAAACATCTGCCCACACAGTCGCCAGCACCTCAAACAGCACCTGTGCCAGCACCCCAAAACAGCACCTGCACCACCAAACTGCATGCCCCCTAGCACCCGGCCATCAATCTCGCAAAGCACTTTCCCCTATTTATTAGAAGTTAGAACCCCTAAAGCTTTCAGCTATCTGGGGAAAAAATGTAGGGGGGAGGTAGCCCGTTTTGGAGTTGTGTCAAAGAGGAACTGAAACGAATCCACCCATATAATATACTGTTTCGCTTTTTGCGGGTACGCCATTTTGGGTTATTTTGAAGGGGAACCGAAAGGCACCCACATATTTGGGGAAGGGGGTCAGATTCCTATTTTGGCACACACACACCCAAAGGGGCTATCCAAAACCTTTGGTAAGCGGCTTCTTGCAGGGGATGTGCTGTTCGAACCTTCACTTGCTACACGCCCATCGCCAGGCTTGCAAGCAAAGAGGCAGTGGACTTGAACATACACGGTGTTTGAGGCTCGCATTTTCACATTGGTTTAAAGGGAACCTGCGAAGAAAAGCCCCCTATTTTCGTACAATTTTGACATATCCCGATACATCAAACAACACCTGCCCTGCAAGGAGCAAAACTGCTTTTGTTAACCCACTGCAGCAAGCTGCCTTGCTCACAAGCAACAAATAAAGCAGCCCAAGCAAATGCTCATGAAGCTACATTTAGTCCGGTGAAAGCTCCTGCGGCTTACTCTTTGGGGCAGCATGCGACGCGAAAAAAGACGACCTCAGCCATGCTACCCCTACCGGGACGCGCAAAGCGCTTTTTGCCTTTGCGGGGGGCATTGGCAAGAGTCAAAATCACACGGAACGCCTTACGGCAACGTCATTGTTGCATGCTACCTGGGTGATTTTTGAGGCCACCCCTGAAAATGGCATTGGTTGTCCTTTTGCTTTCCCTTTAAACTCACGAAAAAGGGTACCCTCAATTGAAAAGACGAGCCCACCCGAGCTCAGTCTGCACCAGTTCGCCATGTGAAGTCTCTAGCCCCTAATCCGTACAACACTGTGCTGACAAAAAGGGAAATGGGAACAAACATCACATGGGCATATGGAATTCCCAACGCAATTTGTGTGGCTGAGGGTAAAGTCAAGGCTCAGGTATGCCATGTCATACTCTTTGACCGCCTCCTAGATCTAAAAAGTCCAGTATAGCAATATGAGGGCACCCTTTTTGGGGTTGTTTTAAAGAGACACCTAAAGGCAAACCGCCATTCATAGGGGCTCCCCAAAAAAGCGAGCCACCCATCTATACGTCTGCAAGTCCTTTCAGTGCAATGGTGATTGACTGGAATCGCTCATGGCTTACTTCTTGTTTTGCAAGCGCAACCCACAAGCCATGTATTGAAACCACACACACAAATGACTGGAAATATTGACGGCAAAAATCTAAAAGACGCTGTCTTGCTCAACATAAAGATCTAGGGTCCCCGCCCCCTCGCCGTTGCGCACGTTCAGGCCATACTTTACCAGCTCTTTGGCATAGATACCCGACCGGAAGCCTGCAACATGTGGGGCAAACGATTCGCAACTTCCTGCGATCTGAGGTGGGATCCAAATCCATCCCCATGGCTACTTTATCTGGCCATGGCGTGAAAAGGCTCAGCCGGTAGGTGTCCTTTTGGGAACATAGATGGCCCTGGTAGATGAAACAACCAGGTTAAGCAGGACTCGCCTACCAATTGGTCACCAAAAACCAAAAAGCACACCTATATGGTTCAGCCTCCGGGACTAAACATGAGCCAAAGGGTGATTTGTTTCGGAGAACTTTTTTGAGTCACACTCCAGAAATCATCTGGAAACCTATTGTTCCCCCAGTCGGCCTGCCGTACAGTAGGGCACCACCAGCCTTCCCTTCGGCTCTTGCCGAAGCTTGGGCAGCACCTGAGATTCGAAGTGCTCCTACGAGAAACCACCCGGCTGCCTCTGTTTGGTACATGGGTGATATGTGTATGAACCAGCTGTGAATGTGGACACCCCGCCCCTGAAAAAAGAAAAATACAAGCAAACCTGCAAAAGGTGACTTTTTTGAATGATCCGTAGCTCGATGTTCCCCTGGCTATCGGACAGTTCGAGAGTCCACTGGTTTTCAAAAAAAAAGGTTCCCCATGTCCCTCTCAAATGGACCATCCACTGATGTGGACCGAACCTAGGGTTGCGTCTTGTAAGGGTACCCATCTTTTTCAAGGTTGCAGGGACATCCAAACGAAACCATCTTTGGGGTGCCCCTACTTTGACACACCTCCATAACCCGGTAGTGCTGTTGTCAAAGTGGCAGGGAAAGCGTTCAAGGGACGTTCACGCCCGCATCTAGGGCAAAGCAGAGAGCCTATTTGAGGTCTGGGCAAAGTTCGACCACAATGACCGCTGCAAGCAAAGTGCGTCAGATACTGAGGTCCAGTGAAGAAGAGCGAAAAGATCCAGTGGGTCAATCTGGGGAGGATGCACTCCACCATTTTCCCACACAACAACTCTCTGGTTCTCTCATCTCCAGGGCAAACAAACATTCAGCTCAAGTTGCTCAAGTCGGTGTGCCCGCAAGCGGCAGTCCTTGGTGACTGCTCCAGGCATCATCGACACTTGCTGCTCCTCTGCACAGCGCACATCCACCAGCACGATCTCCTGCCAGGTTCAATCGCTTTCTAGAAACTACAGCTGTGAGTCCCGGATAACAACAGAACTACCTTGCGGGTCCATGTTTTGGCAACAGGAATTCAGTGACGTGCCGCGCCAAAACCTCAGCAGTTTTCCCTTATATGATATGGTTCCCCCCAACCAGGCTCATTATTTGGACAGTTGCTGGGGGTTATCAAAGTCAGAACGTGGGGTTGTTTCCCTTCAACCGACTTGGGGGTGACTTTGATCATGGTCAAATAGCAGGGCCAGCCCGAACCTATCCTTCAATCAATATTCAATGTTGCTCATTGATTCTTCAGGTGCCAAATTACATTTCGTTTCAACATAATGTCAGTTCGTGTGGTGCATTCATATCAATTGGCTGAAAACAGACCGAGCCCGGCCTCGCCCTTCTCGAGTCGCTGCCGCAGCTCTGCGGAGGGCAGAAGCGGCGCCACGCCCTCCGCGCCGCTCTGGCCCGCGAATTGGCGCGCCGCCGCCGCGGCGTCCGCGCGGCTGCGGTTGGTCATGGCACACGGCCCAAAGGCCCGAGCGAGGCACGCAGGGTGGGGCCAAAAAGAGGGAAACTGCTAGACTTGATGTGGTTTTGCCTCAGTTCCCGAGTCGATGTTTGTTTACCACTAAAATGGTCTTCCCACAAAGTAGAAAGTCCGAAACGGAGCTGAGGGAGTGAGTTGCACGTGGCCCGCAAAATTCAGTCCTTCGCAGGCGAGGAGTGGAGAAACATATTCCAGAAACACCATAGGCAAGATTGGGCTGGTGCTGAACTGGGAATGCTTCTCTGTGATTCATGTTATGTCCCCAAACGGAAGGCGCCGGCGATTTAAGCCCGGTATGCCAGTGTGATTCTATGGGAACTCAGTGCTGGTTCCTTGCAGCACATGACATCATGAGGGTTTTCTTGTCGCGTGACATGGGTCCAAACTATGGGGATGTTTCGCAGTGGGATGTCTCCGTCTCTGGATCTGGCTCCGTGCTCGCTGAGCCAAACCAGCACACCGATTGGCAAAGAATGGCAAGAGCTAATGCAACATGCACGGCATCGATCTGCTCTGCATCTGGCAAAACAGGACTTGCCACCAACAGGTCCCCCTATATGTCCCTCCCAAGTTGACCATTGGACATTCCGACCGAATCTCACATTTTTCGGTCCGTCTGCCTGCCCTAAGAAATTATAGCGGCGGTCTTCAGACTTAAACTGTCACAAAGGCGGACGCATCTAGCCATGAAGGTTCCAATTTGGCCAGCATCCTTCAAAGATTCATCACATCGGAAGTGGCCAAACAAATAATTGAAGAACAACCTTTTGATATCGCAGTATCCCCTTCAACAGGCAGCACGTACTGGCGCATCAGGGTGCAAACGGGGGCCATATTCTTGGCATCACCCATGCACAAGACTTGAATGGTACCCTCTTGTTTCCGCAGTCCTCATTCCCTGAGTTCCGTTTCAGACTTTATACTTTTTGGGAACACCAGTTCAGTGGAAAACATAAACTCTTTTTGTTTGGCCCATCCACTCAGGAAGTGAGTCTGTTTTTCAAAGGAACCCCCGGCTGTCTGGAGATCTGAGGCAGGCTTTGAACTGAATGGAACCGTCACTGCATGTTCTAGCAACATCTGGCCCTACAAATGGGGACGTGGTCAAACGGAAACCAGAAGGAAACCACAGATGTTCGGAGGATAACACAGGTTTCAACTCCTAACTCCTTGCTGATGGCTCTTCCTCATCCCAAACCAAGGCCATCTGTCACCTTCCGGTCTGGGGCCCGCACCGAAGAGGCGAAAGTGGCTTACTCTGATGGTGTGTTGGCAGCTGAAACTGCTTTCTCTCTGATTGCCTGGCTCATGCTAAGCTCTGCTGAAACAGCAAGGCCACATGGAAACAGGTCTGAAACATTCAACATACTGCAATCAGGCGGCATGTCGTAACTGCCCCAATCACAGGTTTTTCGTGTTTGGAGTGCTCGCTTTCTCGCTTCCATGTCTGATTTAAAGCCAACTGCGTGTCACTCACTTGAGCTGTACGGCTGACAATTGGCAGCTGCACCTGGGTTCTCTCCGCAAATCTTTGGATGTGCATGCAGCATGAACTTCTCGCTCGCGCTTTTCAACCAAAGGCTGTCTCTATCCTAGGTGCCGGCACCTGTCTATTGGACCTGTACAACGCTTTGAGTCCATTCTCCCGACATCTGTCACGGATGTGACACGTAAAAGCAGTCCATGCTTTTGGAGCAAACCGATTTCCTCGCCGAATCCTTACATGGTGGGCATATTCTGTAGACTTGGTCAGCGCCTGCATCCGGGCTGGCCATGAAACGTCAAAGGCTGAGCACTTCATTCTCCAAACAACCGCTGGATCAAGAAGGTACCACAGCGCACCCATACTAAAGCCCAACGATCAGCATTCATGGCACCAATGGCATGCTCCGTCAAGGTTGGGCAAAAGGGATTGAACATGTTCACAACAATTCTTCTGGCTTGAAACCACACGTAGTCAAACAAAATCTTCGCCTTTCCCCGTTACACTTCCAAAAGCAACCAGGTGCCTGGGGGCAACAGCTGTGGATTTCATTTTGGCCCAACCCCGGCACCGGATTCCTTCAACTGCCCCCAAACACCGGCGGCTCTTGGATCTCCGAGACCACCTGCTCCTGAGCTCCGGCTGGCTGAAGGGAAACCAGGAAATACTATAAAGCTGGGCTGCCTGTTTTCTGATCCCCCGCTGAAAGTGAATAACTCTTAGGGTTAAATACGGAAACTACCACTAAACACTAAAGGCTAAAAAGCTGAGGAACCGGATGGCTGGGAGCCACCAAGTTCAGTGGTACTCATCCTCTCACTTCCTGAGTGAACTGGACAAAAAACGTCTGAACCTTAAAGTTGCCACTATTTGCCACTAAAACGCTCTTTCCGAAAAGCTTAGGTCCAGGAACTCAGGGAGTGAGTGCTTAAACATCTTGGCCCTGACAATCTGATGCCATGCACGATCACGGTTAAACCCGCGGGAATGAGTTGCTCTTCTAAACCCAGAAGAATGCCAGGGGTGAGAGATGGATGCGAAGCAATTCAACTTGTGACTATTGTGTACACGGGCATGTTTGAGAAACAACAGCATTGGAACATGCACAAAGACACACAGACACTGACACAGGCACACACACACACAACCAACGCAAACACACACGCACTCACCCACCACCGCAACACCCACCCACTTGCCCTCCCACCCACTCGCCCGCCCACCCACGCCCCGCAGGCGCACACGCAGGCGGCAGGCACGCACGCAGGCAAGCACGAACTCAACAAGACCTTCCTGCTTGGAGTTCCCATTTGCGCCGCATCGCTTCGTTATTGTCCCCGTGCACATGTCCAAGTCTGACGCGTGCCTTCGTGTAGTGCAATGCCCCATTCGGCGAAGGTGACCCCGACTGTGAGTCATGTGTCAGGTGCCCCATGCCCACCAATCCAAAAGTTCTCGAGGCCAGTTTTTCAACTCACAGCCTACAGCCTAACAAGCCAGGTACTCCGGTTCGCATACTCTGGGCCGCATACTTGAACCAACACCTGGGAAAACCGACATTGCCGAACCTGGGTTAGCAACCCTGATGCATGAATACTTGGTTGACGTTGGAAGGGAGCAAAAAGTCGAATTTTAGCAGTTGAGTGGGGATCTCCCACTAAACCACAATAAGCCAAAATGTAAAATGTTTCCCAACAACAACCATGTGCTGCTGCTCAATCTGCGTATTCCCCAGGGTTTTTCTGCAAACTCGGGATGATGTTTGTAGAATAGGGTGCATGAATAGGGCGTGAAGAACTGGCACGGCCACTCCCTCCTCGCTGGTGGGCGAGCCCAGGTTGGTGCCCGGAGGTATCCGTGGAGGTGGGCGCGTGGTCAGCGACTTGACGTGCAGCGCCAAATCCTGCGACGCCCATGGCGTATTTTGGGAGATGCGGTCCCTTTTATTGGGGGAAAAGGGAACGCCGAGGGATTTTGCTTCTACATGCGTTTGAAGGGTTGATTTTTCAAGAGAACGCAAAGGCAGGCTGTATTTTGGGTACCAAGTTGGACCCCTGGGCTTCCTCAAATGGCTCTCATGTCATCAGGTCCACCGGATTGAGAACCAAACCGGAACACCTGCGCATGCGCTAAGCGAAGGCCTTCGCTTGCTCCACGAGACGCGTTTGTCGTTTAATGAGGCTCGGTACCCTTGGCAAGATCCAAGGGAAACAAGAGCACTGCTACCAATCTTCAGGCTGTTTGGCAACAAACCAATTTGGGGCTGCCCCATTTTGAGGCGCTTCTCCTGGGATGGCTTAACAAATCCATGGGCGGCCGGCCCATTTGGTTTCAGAGGGACACCGAAGGACACCCCCCCCCCCTGACGCGAACAACTTGTTGGGTGCGCCTTGAGCAAGCTCCAGGTGCCTCGCCTGCCAAGTCGATCTCACATTGAAGCAATGGGGCGGACATTTTGTTGAGGGTGCCCCTTTTCCGTTTTACTTTGAAGGAGAACCAGAGGGAAAACCTCCATGTTTTTTGCGGGTCCCGAAAAAAAGGCACGCCAAACGCCCGCCATTGGCCCTTTCAGCCGTCTCAGCGTTGACCTGCGTGTTGCATAAGCCACCGCCCGCATGCCTCCATCTTATCATTCAAACAATGGCCTGGAACCAGCACGCACTTGTCATTCTGCTAGTGCACCGGCAGCTCCCCACAAAGCCGCAATTTTGGCGAGCAAACTCACCTACGCTTGCTTCACCCTGATAGCTATTACCCCCGGCCCAAAAAAAAGTGTTTCATTTGCTTGCGGGTTAGTGAGAAATAATCCTTTCTCCCCCCCCAACCAACAACAAACAACACACAACACACAACAAGAAAAAGGTGCCAAGCGACAAGCGACACGCGATAAGCGACCAGCATCAAGCGACAAGCCACAAACCGCGACCAACAACCAACAACCAACCAAATCCAGCAGCAGCAGCAGCAGCAGCAGCAGCAGCAGCAGCAGCAGCAGCAGCAGCAGCACCACCACCACCATCACCACCACCACAGCAACAACAACCACAAGCACAACCACAGCCACAACCACAACAACGACCACGCTCATCACCATAATCACGACTATCATTACCACGATCATGCTAACAACAAAATACTAACAATCATCACCCTCACCGTTACCGTTCTCATCACACCACCGTATGCATAACAAAAGTAGTGACAATGAATAACAAACAATGAGTAACAAATCGCAAACCACAAACAACAAACCGCAAACCACACACCACAAACAACAAACAACAACCCAACACCACCACCAACAACCCTTTACCACCACCAGCACCACCACCACCGCCACAACAACAACAACACCACCACCACCACCACCACCACCAACAACAACAACAACAACAGCAACACCAACAGCAACAGAAGCAACAACAACAATAACAACAACAACAACAACAAACAACAACAACAACAACAACAACAACAACAACAACAA